TCTTTATTGATTTTAAGGTGTTTCTACCAAAAAGTAATTTAGATACACATATTAAAGAGAGTGGTATAAATAGTCAACACACAGTTACTACTAATAACCAATTTAATTAATTTTTTTAATTTTTTCAAATTAGTTATCAATCTCTTATATCAAAGATTAGATCCAGTAACATTTATTACAAATAATTAACTCAATTTCTTTTCTTAATCTTCTCAAATTAGTCAATTAACTCTTATAATTAAGACCAGAGATAGTACTAAACAGCCCCTTGTTGATAAGTGTTTGAGAAGCAAGTCGTCTTCATTTTGCAATAAAGGATTAAGCTCAGCTCTCTCTCTCTCTCTCTCTTAAATCTCATCTATTTTTACGAGCAGATGTCATTGATTAAAAAGAGAAGCCATCCTGCCGAATCCCAAGGACTTATTTGAAATAGTAATTATAGTTTTTAAAAATAATTTTTCAATCCTGATTTTTTTTGCCAACAAATTTTTTTAATCATGATTTACTATATAAAAACTAAGAAACAAAGATTTTTATCTCAACTTATATAAATTATTTCAAATAAGCACTAAAATGAACCCAAAAAAAAGGACGGCCCTGACAGTTGCAAATTGGTTTCAAACCCCTTATCCTTCTAGTCATCAATAGAGCGGTTAAAACAGGTTAAGCCCATCGAACCAACCCGTTTAAGCCCTTTTAAGTGAAGGGTCGAACTTATATTTTAGGATGTTAAAAAGAAAATTAGGTTTAAAAGGAAAGGGCTTGGGAATAAAAAAGCTAGCCTATTAGGGCCAAGAGCTAGCCCTTTTAAACCCGTCTATTTTTTTAATTATCAAGATATTTATACAAGTATGGATTAGTCTTTTATAGATAAGTTTAAATTAAAAAATTACTTAGATGTCTTGAACTGGTAGAAGGGCAATTAAAATCAATTCTCAATTTTTTCAAATATGGTAGTTGATAATCTTAGTATTTCAATCAGTACAGTAGTTAGTGAATCTTCTTTTACTATTGGTTCATATGTCTTAACAAAGTATATAAATTCTCTAATTCTAATAAATGTTTATGCTCTCATTTATACTAGTAAATACTACATAGTTTTACTTTAGATAAAAATGATAAAAACAAAAACTTTAATATTTTTATCACTGGAGAAGAGGGATTTGCATTAGGTTCTCATCAGTTTTGATGAGCACCCAATGCTCATTGGATCTGGACGGTCTAAATTTATTTTTATTTTTATTTTTTTTAAAATAATTATTTTAATAGGTATAGGATAAAAATAAAGATAATTTATTAACTATCATTATTTAAAAATATAATTTTTTCTATTTTAAAATAATTATTTAAAAATATCAAATCTGGACCTTCTAGATTGCTCATCAGGTGATGGGCACTGGGTGCTCATCAGGTGATGGGCACTGGGTGCTCATCACCTGATGAGCACCAAATCACCTGATGAGCACCAAATACGGACCCAAAGAAGAGCCCACCTCTAGTGAAGAACAATGAAATATAGTTGATCTTGATGACGGTGTTGAAGATGAAGATAATAATTTTGTTGATGTTGTTAATCTTTAGTTGCTTAGTTTTTATCTTTATGCTTTCCCTATTTTCTTTGTTCACAGAGACACCATCCTTCTTGAATTCTAAGGTTGTTACTATATCCATAGGTGTTCCAAATGGGCTTGCACGTAGCATACCTGTCTCCTTTAGAAGATCTAAGGTATATTTGCATTGTGAGATAGCAATATCTTTCTTGGATCTAGCTACTTCCATTCCAAGAAAGTATTTTAGGCTCCCCAAATCCTTTACCTCAAATTCTTGTCGTAGAGATTTCTTTATGTTTGATATACCTTCATAATCATCACCTATCACAATTTTATCATCCACATACATAATCAAGACTGTCATTTTCCTATCAGTATGTTTAATAAATAATGTATGATCAGTTTAACATTTTGTAAAACATATTTCACCACATAATCTGTGAACCTTTCAAACGGGCCCTTAGAGATTGCTTTAAGCCATATAATGACTTGTAAAGTCGACATGTGATATTAGGCACATCTGGCTTCCTCACTCCTTCTAGAACATCCATATATACTTCTTCCTTTAGGTCACCATTGAGGAAGGCATTTTTAACATCTAATTGATATAGTGGTCAGTCTAGATTTGGTGCAAAAGAGAGTAGTACCTTGATGGTATTTAGTTTTGCAATCAGTGAGAATGTCTCTTTATAATCTATACCTTGGGTTTGAGTGAATCATCAAGGTACCAGACTAGTTTTATATTTGTTTATGCTCCCATCTTAATTGTATTTTATAGTAAACACCTATTTTGACTAACCATAGACTTTCTATCAAGTAACTTGGTCGGGTTCTAGGTTCTGTTTTTCTCTATTGCTTGAAGTTCATCATTTATACCTTTCTCCCGTCTAGGTTGCACAATGGCTTTTTAGTAGGTGGCTTGCAGTTTTTCACTATCTACACTAGCCACAAAAGCTTTATAAGTAGATGACAAGTTGCTGTAAGAGACAAACCTCTAAATGGTGTATTTTTGCATTTTATGAATATGCTTATGGTTCCCTTATGTCACCATTATTAACATCTTTTGTCATTATATTATCTGTTTCAGCATCAATTGTACTGACTTCAGGTCTGATTTCAGGTTTAGATTGCATCCCAGGGTGCGTTTTAGGTTCCGGTTGATTGTGTGTCACAGGTTCTGGTTTGGGTAAGGCTGGTATGTGAGTTTGAGATAGAGGTTTGTGAGTTTGGGTTCCTAAAAGGTCCAGTTCCCCTAAGGACTCTCCCTGAATTGGACTTTTAGGGTAGCAAAGGGTATCTTCAGTGAAGGTTACATCTATAGAGACAAACAATTTCTTAAGTGTGGGTGAGTAACATTTATAGCCTTTTTGGGTTGAGAAGTAACCAAGGAAAGTGCATTTAAAGGACTGAGGATCAAGTTTACCTCCATGATAGTTGTGAACATAGGCCACGCAACCAAAAACTTTTTGAGGACTAGCAGATAGTAGTTGGGTGTTTGGATAGGTTTAAGATAGGATGTGAATTGGAGACTGGAATTTTAGGGTCTTAGAAGACAGTCTATTTGCAAGGTAAGTGGCTGTGAGAATAGCTTCTCCCCAAAAGATGTGTGGGACATTATGAGTGATCATAAGGGCTCTAATAATCTCAAGTAGTTGTCGATTTTTGCGTTTTGCAATGCCATTCTATTGTGGTGTGTAAGCACAACTAGTTTGGTGTATAATTCCCTGTTCATTTAAGTATTGCATGAATTGAGAACTGAGCTACTCTCTCCCACTATCACTCCGGGAGATTATGATAGATGTGTTGAATTGGGTCTTAACCATTTTGGTGAAATTGTTTGAAGGTAGTAAACAGATTAAATTTTTGCCTCAATAGATACACCCAGGTTATGCGTGTGTAGTCATCTATGAATGTGACGAACCATTTTACTCTACAAGGTGTTAAAACTTTTAAAGGTCCCCAAATATCACGGTGTATTAAAGAGAAGGGATGTGAGGGTTTATATGGTTGAGTCAACAGGAGTTCCTTTTGTGTTTAGCAATATGACAAGTGTCACAATTAATGAGTACATCCTTTTTATTCAGAATATTTGGAAACAACTTCAACATATAATCAAGACTTAGATGTGCTAATCTATAATGCAGTAACATCAAGTCTTTATTAGAAATAGAACTACTTACAGAAAGCACGATCCTCTTGTTGCAATCTAGTTGTCCATCAAGATAATATAACCCTTTACTCTCCAAAGCATTGCCAATCATCCTCCTTGATCTTAGTTCCTGGAAAGTACAATCAGTGGCAGACATGTTAACAGTGCAGATTCTAGTCTTAGTAACCTTTGTCACATATAATACATTAAATTTAAGGACAAGTGCATAAAGAACATCATAGAGAGTTATTTCAGGGGTAACATGTACTATTCCAGTTCCAAGAGCCTTAGGATGATTCCCATCTGTAATTTTAATGTTTATTCCACTATAGGGTTTAATTTCACTGAATAAGGATAAATTGTCAGTCATGTGGTTTGTAGCTCCTAACTCCACAATCCAAGAGTTAGGTTTTAATGCTGTGACCTTCGTTACTTGGACATATTTACCTGCTTGGACCAAATTACCCAAGCTGAGTCCCATATCTCCTTTGCTATAGGTGCTAGCAAATACTCTTCACTAATATCCAGATTAACTGAATTGATGAGCCAGACCATTACCATGGATTTTTCAAACTTGGGGTCATTTGCAGCATGTTGAATAGTAGCTCCGGTTAGATACTTTTCCTTCCTTTTCCCCCTAACAAACATTAATACGCTTTAAGACCATTGTAAATATTGTCTCCATTTAGTTTATGCCCTACAATTGAAGTAGGAGTAGTATCGATAGGAGCTTTAAGGTTTGAGCTGTTATTGGTTCTGTTCAAAGATGCATCAAGTTGTTCTATTTCATGCGATCTTGGATCAGTGGTTTCACTGCCACTATAGTGGGCACCACATACGCCAAACTGAAGTGTATTATGAGCCATCGCTATGATATCATGTGGTAATTTAGAATCTCATATCATTGGCGTTAAAAAGAAAACAAGGTGGAGGATCCACAAAATCAGGAATTCAAAAAAAGAAAAAACATAAATGCTATGATATCTTAATCCCAAATCATAAATGCTACGATATCCTAATCTCAAATCATAAATGCTACGATATCCTAATCCCAAGTCATAAATGTTATGATATCCTAATCTCTTATAATCTGGGTTACAAATAAAACAGAATCATCTAAGTAAAATAGGTCTAAATTAAAGCCTTTTGGACTTAGAATTGAGCCCAATATGCTAACCAACAATAATTTTAAAATATACAACTTTTAAAAAACTTGCCTAGACCCTGACCCTTTAAAACCTAGCTTTTTAATGTCGACAGCTGTAGTTATCAGGCGAGGGCCATGCTGCTGCCCGTGTGCACGGTTCTGCCCAGCGTTTAGCTGAACAAAGTATATATTTCGTGCACGGTTCGGCTGTCTCATTTCATCGCAGACTCAAGGCATTCGCTCTCACGACTCACGAGTTACGCGTTCATCTGCTGTCCACTCCCGCCGGCCACAAACGCCGTCGACCTCCTTTCGCTTTCACACCGGCAATGATCGTCGTCGTCGTCTTCCATTAACAAGGTATCCGACTTCTTATCCTCCTCCCTTTTTCTCACCTCTCGCGAATCGCTGGATATGGGTTTCTTCCCTCTCCGCTTACGATATCTCCCCGCTCCATATTTGCTCCGGTTGTTTCTTATGCTTTTGCTATTGGCAGATTATTTTCTTCCCCTTTATTTTCGCTTGGTTTTGTGAATTTTCTGGGCTTGAGTCTTGTGTGAAAGAAGCGGAGGTTTAGTTGCAAGCATCAATAGGAGATCTTTTATACAAATAAAAGATGAAGTGGAGTTTTTTTGGGTGCATGAGCGTGGAAAAGAATGAATACGATGTCAGGCCTTTTGTGTGAGTGTGAAGACGATTCAAAATTATTATAATAAGATTAAGGTGAATAATGAACGTGAGTCTGTAGTGAGATTTTAGGGAGGGGTTAGTTTTGAAGGAAGAAAGTGAGGGAGAAAGGAGAATTACTATGAAGGGGAGAGGAATATTAGAAATTAAATATTCCTTCCTTCGCTGTTTGGTATATCCAATGTTTATCAGATCAGAATATTAGAGAGGAAAGGAATGAGTTCATTCTCTGTCCAGTATATCTCGAAGGTTGTTTATTAACTATATCACAAGTGAGTCTTTGTCTTTGGTATATCACAGTTGGATCTTTGTCTGTTTGGTATGTATGCTCAGTACATTAGAGTTTGGATCATTTTCTGTTTTGCATGCATATTAGAGTGAGGCTGTATGCCAGATAGTTTTAATTTGAGGGCTTATGTAAAATTGCCTGCCATAGTCGTGCAGAAGGTGGAGTGGCCTCTTTTGATGATCACATCTTGATATGCTATATAGAGCTCATGTCATAGTTGACTTTTTCTATATTCATTTTTTCTTTCATAGGTCTGATAACCTTGCTAAAAGGATTAGCATGTTGTCAACTTTCAACTAATGCTTTACGATTGTAGAACTTTTATTTTACACTCGTTTTTGTGTGATAACCTTGAGAGAAGTCAATGAAGATGGGGGGATTCTCTCCAAAACGTGGAATGGAATCTTTTAAGAAAGTAGACACCTTTTGCTAACTTTTTTTTTGACTAGAAGCACCTCAGCAGGCTAACAGCAAAAGGCAATATGATGCTCAAGTGCACGAAACTGTTTAGTTTGTGTTTTGATTGAATTTATATTTATTACACAGATGACTGATAGTTTAGATGAAGGTGATGATGGTTCTAAAATGGTAATTATGTTATAAAATTTTTTTATATTTACGAAAAGCACTTTTTTTAATCCAAACACGTCTTCTAAGAAGTGCTTTTTTTGGTCCTTTAACTTTATAATAAAAAAGCGCTTTTACATTGTTGTAACCAAACATGATAAAATCATTTTTTAACAAGTGCATTTTATATTTTTAACCAAACGTTAATTAACTTCATATTTTTCCAAAATCTCTGAATTTTTAATAATTTTTTAAACAATCTGAAAAATCACTTTTTTCAGAACAAGATTGAACAAACAGGCCTTAAATCTGGCGCTACCTTATTATTTATGGCTTGTGGATTATGGATGTTTTAGACCTCATCTCTCTCTCTCTCTGTACATGTTTTCTAGGGAGGAGAAATTTGTTCTCTTTGCTTAGCTTTATCAAGCACCACAAAGCCAGTCCAAAGGAGCTTCGCTTATGGCATTGTTCTCTCTCATGGCTTGTGTCCGCCCTTCCCTTATATGTAAGGCATCATTTAAAAGCTACAATAACGGAACCTATGAACTTGATTCAGCTTACATCAGGCGAGCAGCTGTGATAGCTGACAAATCTGCTGGATTCACTTCTCCCCATCCCAACTTTGGCTGTGTAATAGCTACTGCCCCTGGCCACATTGTCGGGGAGGGTTTCCTCTATGCCCAAGGTACTAAACCAGCTGAGGTTCAGGCTGTTGAGGCCGCAGGTGAATGTTGTCGTGGTGCTACTGCTTATCTCAACATGGAACCTGGGGATTGTCATGGTGATCACACTGCCGTGTCTGCTCTTGTTCAGGTTTGCCTTTTATATGCCTTCACTTCATGCTTCTATCCCTACTTTTCGGCTTTGATTATTTTAACTCTAGTTTTCTTTGCCTTTTTAGTTCATAAATGACAATGTGTGTGAACTAGGGAGGAGTTAAAAGGGTTGTTATTGGAATGAGACATCCCTTACCTCATCTGCGGGGCAATGCTGTGCGTGCATTGCGTAGTCAAGGAGTGCAAGTTCATGTTCTTGGGGAGGATCTCAAAAGTAAACCGACTGAGGTGTGCATCTAACATCTTATCTCATGTCGTAAGGTGCATTAATATGCTGTTTACGTTTTAGTTTACCTTTGAGATGTTGGAAATATGTGTTACAGGAAGCTCAGAAGGCATGTCTTCTTGTCAATGCCCCTTTGATTTGCAGGGCTGCTTTACGACTTCCTTTCTCTGTCCTTAAGTTTGCCATGACCCTTGATGGTGAGCATTGTGTCAGGCAGTTTTAAGCTTTTCCTTTATTTTTTTTCCTCCTTTAATGATTTTCCCCTTCTTGGCCTCTGCTATAGACCCTAAAAATTATAACATCCCTTGTTACGTTCCTTTTACTCTACTAGGAAAAATTGCTACTAGCAGTGGGCATTCGGCATGGATAAGCAGCAAGCAATCTAGAAAATTAGTTTTAGAACTACGTGGTAGAAATGATGCCATAATTGTTGGAGGAAACACAGTGCGAAGGGACAGTAAGTATAATGATGATCACATATGATTTTGATAGCATTTGAGTTTTTATACTTTCTCATGCTTGAATTAGATCCAAGATTGACAGCAAGACATGGAGGTGGACATACGCCAGTTCGCATTGTATTGTCCCAGACACTTAATCTTCCTGAGGAAGCGAACCTATGGGACACATCAGAGGTCTCTACCATAGTTGTAACGCAGAGGGGTGCTAGGAGGAGCTTCCAAAAGCTGCTTGCATCTAAAGGCGTTGAGGTGGTGGAGTTTGACATGTTAAATCCTCGAGATGTCATGGAGTATTTTCATGATCGTGGGTATCTTTCAATTTTATGGGAGTGCGGAGGAACTTTGGCTGCATCTGCTATTTCATCTGGAGTAATTCACAAGGTTTTATTTATCCTTATTGGCTCGTTTTCTTTGTTGGGAGTGGATTAACATGAAACATCCTTTTATGGATTAATGTGAAACCTTTCTATATTATTAGTGGAGGTTGGACATATACTTCGAAATGTTTATTTGCTCTTGCTGTGGTCACTATAATTTGCTGAATAGGATCAGATTTTATCGAACTGCTGACAAGATATCTTTTAGAATTGAGTCTTTCTGTTTGAATTCTCTGAAACAGGTTACTGTCTTTGGACTAAGAAAAGAAATAGGTCATCTGTTGGATCTTTGTGAATATCCGCCTTTAATTCTTTCTGTAGTGGGGCCAGTCTTAGTGAAAAATATCTGAACAAACTGCTATGTGCTTTTAAATAATTGTGTTTAGCCGGAAAATTCCTGTTAGTTTTACGAAGCTTGTGGTGGCTATCTTGTTTTGATTTGATTGTTACTGGGTGTGATAGTGATTTACCTGGTCTACAGGTTTTTGCGTTTGTTGCTCCTAAAATTATTGGGGGGAAGAGTGCACCATCTCCTGTCGGTGAGCTTGGGATGGTTGAGATGTCACAGGCCATAGATCTGATTGATGTTTGCTATGACCAGGTTGGTAACAATTCCTTCAAAATATTTATCTATTTATCTGATTGACACATGTTGGCCTAACTTACATATGCCTAAATATCTGAGAAAATTTCAATTTTAGTTGCGTCTAGTATTCTGTTTAATGAGACGTGGTTACCAGATGTGTCTAGTATTGGATATTTAAGTTGACATGATTTATCAGATTTTACCATGTTCTTGATATGTAATGCATTTCCTGTGAACATTATTCTTTCTATCTCCTGATGAGGGATTTTTTTACTGGCAAGTGTAATGCAGATTGGGCCTGACATGCTAATTAGTGGGCTCCTCCGGTCTTTATCAGATTTGACACCTGTTATCCCATCGGTAGATGAGACTTTTGCTGTTGACCCCACTGTCTCACCTTATGAATCAAGCATCATATTTTTCTATAAAACATGGGATCCTTATGGCGCATTTTCAAATTTTTCACCTCATCCCATTCAAATGCCTGATGGAAATGGTGATTATGTAACTTGGTTCAGTGTGGAGCACTACTACCAGGTATTTGTTTTTCTGCATAAATTCTAATAGTTGCAGTTCTCTTTGTTTGCTTATGAAATATAACACAATGTATAGGCACACAAATTTGTTGGGGTCAATGATCCTTTTGCTCATAATTGCGTTGAAAGGATTAAATCTGCGAAAAGTCCAGAAGAAGCTGCGAGAATAGGAAGGTCAATGCAGAGACAGAAACGTGATCTGGTATGACCATCTATACTGAGGCAGGGCTATAATAATGAAAATTTGAGTGGCCAAATGTTAAATACACGGGCCTTGAAAGTGAAATTTCGGGGGGCCCAAAACACACTGATTATTAAAATTTAGGTCGAGAAGTGAAGAAAATTTTACGATTTTTATGAATAATTTTGGATCTACTTCTGAAAGCCATCCTAATTTTATGATGGCTGGGAATATACATTGGAACTGATATTTAGGTGGGTACACAGGTAAGGCCTGACTGGGACAACATAAAGATTGAAGTAATGTACAGAGCTCTTAAATGCAAGTTCTCAATCTACCCTCATCTGAATAACATGCTGATCTCAACTGCCGGTTCGGTGCTTGTCGAGGCAGCCCCGCATGACCTGTTTTGGGGTGGAGGTCGGGATGGAGAAGGCTTAAATTATCTTGGCCGACTATTGATGCAATTGAGATCAGAGTTTCTTGGGGAGGAGTCTTCATCCGTTGATAACGACTAAAGTTCAGGATTAGCGAGCTTGCGTCCATGAGACATCAAACTAATCGACTAGACTCATTTTGTTTGATTAGTGGCAGCACTTGCTCTTGAAGCTGATTATCATTTTACTTCTGTCAAATTTATTTTCTTGTCACCGTGGATTATCAACTAGCAATAAAAGAAATAATTGAGACCTTATTTTCCTCTAACTGAAAATGTATACATGCATTGAGCCTCCAATTGAAAATTCATATGCGTATTTTTCGTTTGGGGAGATGTGTTTCTCAAAATTTTATTCGAATTTTAGGATTTTATTTTTAGAGAAAATGCAAAAAAAAAAAAAAGGTTGTTGAATTTCAAAATTTTAAATAAAGAATTACTATAAAAATGTATTATGATTTACTTTTCAAGTGTAGTTTTTTTTTTTTTTAAAGTATAGTGATCAATATGAAGTTCGATAGTCATTTTTTCAGGATTTTTTCTTATTTTTATCTATCCGCTCATTGGCTAACCATAAAGCTCAAAAAATAGCATTTGGGCATTTTGATCAAATCACACTTTCACTGAGACTTTCGCTTTTGATCACTCGTTTAACGTAAGTACTAAGGAGTAACTTTTCGTATGCAAAAATCACGGTGGAGGTGTGGGCAATGGTCATTTTTCCAAGATCCCTTCCTCCGATAGTCCCACCCCCGTTCCTGCGCCCTGTCAATGATGCATTCTGCTTCTCTTTCCCTGTTATTTCTTAACGAAGTTACCAAGTTTATATTTTGTTTTAAAAGATATGTACTTGAAATAATTATTTTTTTTTCATAGTAAAATCTGAAATTTTATTTTGGTATTCATGTCGATTATTGAAAATAAATGATATTTACAAAAAATGGAAAAAATTATGGAAGGCATACCCTTTAAATAATTATACATCTGAAGTAATTTTACTGAATAAAACATAAACAAAATCATTTCTCTCCAAGTCTCTTAATTAAAAATATGTTTCTTAATAAAAATCATGATTAATTGATGTCACTTCTGAATAATAATATCATTTATGAAAATCATGATAATCTGAAATCACTTTTGTCAACTCCAATCCAAACTTAACAAAAAAGAAAGAAGAAAACTTCAACCTGCAGAGGCACTAAGTCACATTATTAAGAATTTGTTTTGATAAAAATTCCCCCATTAAGTATTTAAGTTTTAAAGCTTTATGTTTCCCTCCAAAAATAACTGTAATATATGTTTTAAAATTTATTTGTTATGTCATTATATTGCTTTTGAAATAGTCAACTGTCTCAGGAGAAGAAATTAAACTTTTAGAATAACATTTTATATTAAAATTTTAGAATAACATTTTATAATTAAATTTTAAAGAAGTCTGAGAGGTGTTATCGAAAATTGTAGTTCAATTATTTTTAGTTTTCCGGTTATAGAAAAAGAGAAGCAATTGTGAAGTAGAAAACATTAAAAAGAAACAGAAAAGACAAAAAAGGAAGACGAATGAGAAGTGTGGAGGCATGCTTCTTGGAGTTTATATCATTATCATTTTCGTTCAGGTTGACGAGGACATTGGGTCCTTCCTGATTCCTTCAATGATTTTCAAAACGTAATTCCGATTTGCATCTTATAAAAAAGATGAAATTATTAGAAATTCCTTACTCATCCATTCCCTAGGAGTTCATTAAGGCATGTCTTCGGATAACTATTAAAACAACCTTTATTAGAACTCACTCTGTAAGTACACAAAATAAATTGAGCGATTAAAGCATTGGGTCTTCACATGTGAGTGAAATTCTATGGCCCAACAAAGCTCTCCTTCAAGACTATGTGGAGAGGTTTGCCATTCCAGCTATCAATGTGCAAGTCTTGAGTTTTCCCTTGATAATGGTTTTAATCTTGACAGTGAAACCTCCAGCAATCACAGTACAGATCTGGATCATAATTTATAACATGAGTCGGAAAACTCCAAATTCAATTATGCATTGTTCAGATCAAAATATTAAAAGTTTATTCATCACGGCATTGATTACAAATCAAATTCACATCATTTTGATTATGTAAATGCATCTCAATTGACGACATCTTTTCATGTTTTAAGTAACTCAAACATGAAACACATAAACATATAGATAACTATATGTTAAAAAGTCAAATTTATTAAAACAAAGTAAAACGATGCAAAATATTTTGGACTTCCAAATACACCATGAAGCAGCACAAATTACGGAAGGCCAATAATACAAAGTAAGAAGCTGAAATATAATAAATGCATAAACTATTCTCAACTCAAAATTATATACAAATAACTCTCCTATTTGATATTGGACTCTCATAAATTTTAAAGTATATAGAGATAATGTCAAACTATTATTTTTATATTCTTTAAATTTTATTTTTACATGTATATAACCGTATCAAACTTTAATTTATATGCGGATAAATTTCTCAAACTTGAAAAATAATGAACAAAACTAATAATAAAGTTTCAAAAGCTAGGAAGATATTATTTACCCATGACATGAAATTTATAGAAGCCGAAAATAACCACAAGCCAACAACGTTTGAGATTTATATGTAATCCAAATATACATTTTCTTATATTTATTATCACGTGAAACCATCTTCTCTGATGTTGGTTTTGCAAAGAGATCTCCAGAGTCTGGCAATAACAGAAATAGGAGTCATTTAGGCTAATTAGTTGGTTTTGATTGTATTTTTTCGGCTGATATTAACTACTCTTCCGGTCCTTAATATGAGACTTATTTAACTAATTTGGTTAGATTAAGGAAATGGTAAGTTAGTTATTAATATAGAAATATGACATATTTTTTCTAAAACCAGTAATCATCTTTCTTACTATCCTTTCTCTCTTATTTACTTGATTATGATTGATGGAGTATTTATAGGGGTAATTTAGAAAAAACTAATAAATATGAGAAATATGTCTTATATTTAAAACTAAAATTAACTTAATACTCCTCTGGTCCTTAATATAAGACCCATTTAATTAATTTGATTAGATTAAGGAAGTTAGATAAGTTAGTTAATCATAAAAAATATGACACATTTTTTTTAAAATACCATAATCATCTTTCTTAATACCGCTCTTCCTCTTCTACTTGATTATAGTTGATGGAGTATCCATAGGGTAATATAGAGAAAATTGATAAATATAAAAAATAGTAGGTCTTATATTTAGAATCAAAACTAACTCAACAATTAAATTCTATATTAAGAACTGAAAGAGTAATTAGGTTTTATATTAAATAACGGTAGAGTATAATAGGTTATCGGTAGTTGTAGTTTTCCCTTTGATTTTGAAAGAAAATGAAGTATTATTCCAACAGCCTTTGGGCTCTTACTGTAAAAACAACAACAATAACAATAATAAACCTTTTGGCTCTCCAAAAATTATTTTTGTCTGTTTCTCTGTCTACAGCAGGTCATGTCCTTAAGAGCGGGTTTCAGGCGATCTTTTTTGTTGTTGGTGGTTGCGATTATTTCTCTGATTCAACTTGTCCAATTTCCTTTCTGCAACACCCCGCAACCCCACCAAAAATAACTGACTCACACATTCTCTTTGGTTTGGATTTGCTCCTTTCTTTTTCCCCCTATTTATTTCCAATCTCGATCTAAAGAAGGAGATAATGATCAAACTGCAAAGCCTGTGCCTGTCTGTGTATCTGATTCCGGCGTCGCGGGCTTCCCGCTGTCGATGACATTTGCTGCATGTTTGTTACGCAGATCTGAGCCTTATGCCGTGCCTTTTATAATTAACGGTACGCAAAGCAAGTAAAAATAAGCGGGAGCTCTTTTAGTTGCTGCTTCACCCCCGAATTGGAGCTTTTCATAGTGGATACGGTATTGAAGCGCATATCATTTGGGAATTTCCTGAGGAGTTGTTATTGCCGTCGACACCTTTCCTCTCACTTGTATTTCAGCTATTTAGGGTGAGCTGGTGGATTATTTCTGGACTACTGCCTGTATCTGCAGCTTCTCAAGGTTTTCCCCTATTCTTTGTGACGGATCCATCAACAGAATATAGGAGGTGCGATTGCTCAGCTGGTCTGGAGTGCATTCTCAGCATTCTCAGGGCCCTCAGGATGGGGTCCTGCTTCTCTGCGGAAAGCAGGAGCCCGCTTCCCACTTCACCTTCGGGAATCAGTAGACGGAAGAACTCTAGAAGAAGACTGGGATCCAGGAGTTCTTCCTTTGACAATTGGAGGGATGAGCCCCTGCATAGAATTCCGGGGAGGCTTTTTCTTAATGGGTCTAGTGAAGTTGCGTCCCTGTTCACTCAACAAGGCAAGAAAGGCACCAATCAAGACGCCATGATTGTTTGGGAGGTTAGATCTTTCTCCAATTTTGCATGCTGAGTGTTGAATGGTTCTTCCATTTTAACGTAAGTTTCCGCCGGACGATAGGTTAAGCATTAATTATCTAGTATTCTTTGGAACAGTTTTTCGCACTCTGTTCAGATGATATCCAAATTATTTACCTCTATCTTGTTCCGTTTTATATTCGGGCAACGAACCGCGCCTCTCTGTTTTTTTTTTTTTATTACATGATATTCATCTTAAATTCTTTACAATAAAATATTGCCTCTAAATTATGTGCACCAAGGATGGAGTGACGAAGGATATCGTAGATGAATGGACCCCAGAAATGCTACTCCGTTAGTAAATGATGGCCTATTCGTTTGTCGTTTACTTTTATCCTTCTGCAGTTACCGTTTTTTGCTCCCTGGCGTGGGGGGTCTGTCATATGCTAATATCGTTTCTCTCGGTATCCAAGTCATGGCAATACAATAATTGATGCCTGCCATTTGGTTTATCCTAGGCCTGTTTTATATAGGTTTTTCCTGATTTCAATTTATTGTGCATTGCAGAACTTTTGTTCGAGGAAAGATACCATTTTTTGTGGAGTTTTTGATGGCCACGGTCCGTTTGGTCATATGGTTGCCAAAAGAGTCAGGGATTCTCTTCCCCTAAAACTGAGTTCACACTGGGAACTGAATGCAGCTGGTGGAGAAGTCCTCAAGGAGATTAGCATTAATACTACGGGGATTATGAACTCAGAAGAGGCTGCCTTTGTATCTGCTGATGAGGAATCCAGGACATCCATTGATTCTGAGGAAATGGAAAAGCACCCCTGAGATCTTTCGAACGCTTAAAGAGTCATTTTTGAGGGCATTTAAGGTTATGGACCGTGAATTGAAGATGCATCCAAGTATTGACTGCTTTTGCAGTGGGACTACAGCAGTGACTCTAGTTAAGCAAGTAAGGGCTAGTAACCTTAGTAATGTTGACAGTTATCTTATGCATGCTATGGCTTTGGTCATGTAATCATTTATTTTAAGAATGATATGGTTTTCATTGTAGGGTCTCGACCTTGTTATTGGAAATGTTGGTGACTCTAGAGCTGTGCTGGGTACGAGAGACAAAGATGATTCTCTCACAGCCGTTCAATTAACAGTTGATCTGAAACCCAGTCTTCCAGGTTTGTCTCTTCTGACTAATTCTTGTCTTTTTTTTCCCTCTTTGACGGGGACTTAAATCAGGTGAATGAAGTTATTATCATATTTTACCTTTGGAGTTCAAATGCGTATGAAGTTATTGCTTACTACATGATCTGTCCTGAGTATGTGACAGAAAGGCAGATTGGACAAACCTGTTCTAGATCTGTATTTTGAGAAAGTAATGTAGTTGTCCCAGGTCCCTCTTATTATCATGCCAGGTATCGCTTCAAAAGTCTATCACACACAATGAAGTAGTTGAAACCAGCCAATTATTGACATTATGTTTATATGATAAGTTTGACCTGACTGTTATCACCTGCCATTATCATTGATACAGTTGATGGAAGCTATGCTTTGTCAATAATGGCAGCATAAATAGCAAGGCAGAAGCAGACCCTGAAATGAGGCTTGCGCATAATAGATTTTGGTGATAACTGTTAGGGATATTTGTTGAACTAATGTTGGGCATCACTTAACAATTCAAAATTGAGTTAAGTTGTTGACATGGAATTAGGGTCTCGATAACAACTAGTCAGAGGTGTTTGATCCTTTCATGATTCATCCCCCATTCTTTGTATTAAAATTATGTTTAGCACAATGAATATAAGTGCGTGACAAGTCCATGCTTCAAGCCCTTGGGTTAATTGTACGGGAGGGCATACTACAGATGTTAATGAAGCCAATCCCGGGCATACTTGATAGCTTAATTTTTTGGGTTGAAATAGTTCCTGATGGCAGCCTTTACAATACTGGCTACATAGTTATGAGTACCTGATTGGTAATTTTGCTTTAATACACCGAACTGGGCCTTAAATTGAAAAGGCATGACGTCTGTTCGGGCAGTGGATACATAATGCTTGATTGACTGTGGAAATTGTTGAGTTAGTTGTTGTTACTGTTATGTGACTAAGAAATTTATGTGGGTCCATAAATGTATTTGGGGTGAACTTGTGATTGAAGAACACAGATTGCCATCTTCACTATTGCATTATAGTTCTTTAGTCCCTGTGAACGTTGGATTAAAGATTGGCTGTTCCATTTTCATGTTTCATATCTCCACGTGTTCTGAAACATAATTTACTGTTTGATTTCTCTTGGTGTGTAATCTGAGAGAAATAAAATATTTTAGCAGTGCATAAGTGCAAATTTGGTTGACATGATGCCTGCATTATTGGCTTGTCTTAAATAATGCCAAGGACATGAATTCTTTGAGACTTGCTCATGATCACTAATAAAATACTATTGTCTGTTGGTTTGAGATTGTAGTCTGCGGAATTCTATCTTAATGGTCAGTTTTATTGCGAGATCCTTGTTGAATCTTATAGTAAGCCTTACCTTATGTCCTTTTCTCTTGAACAGCTGAAGCAGAGAGAATTCGCAAATGTAAAGGGCGTGTTTTTTGCTCTTCAAGATGAACCTGAGGTTGCCCGAGTCTGGTTGCCCAACAATGATTCCCCTGGCCTAGCCATGGCCAGGGCATTTGGAGATTTTTGTCTGAAAGATTTTGGGCTAATTTCTGTTCCAGAAATATCCTATCGACGCCTCACTGAGAAGGATGAATTTGTTGTCTTGGCAACAGATGGGGTAGGAGACATTTTTGAAATTTCGATTGCCAACGAATGCCTTATTTTGTCTAATATAATTTGACGTCTCCTTACTTCTGATTTAATTTCAAGTT